ATTTCTACTGTTAAGTGGGAGTTAGCAACTGAACAGAAAATGGTGAGTGAATGGAAATATAGGAGTTCAGAAGAGATATGGACTTTAAAGAAACTGTACAGAAAAAATAAAATGAAAAATAAAACAGGGAAAAGCTAAATGGGAATAACTGAGTTACATTCCCAGATAAGATATAAATAGCCCCAAAAAACAAATATTTTGGTATTTTCTATAGCTTAAAGGCTCATTAACATTCAAATAGTTCAGGAGATGAAATAACATTTATTTCAGATATAAACCAGATAAGGGAAGAACATAAAAATATTTGCTTAATTTTTCTTAGTTTGTAGTAGGGTATATTCTTTTTAATTTTATAAAAAAAAAAAAAAAAAAAAAAAAACACCTAATGTTTTTCATGATCCAAGTGAATTTTTTTTTTTTTTTACAGTTAGAAAATTGATTGCAGAATGAAAATGACCATTGCCATGCAGTGTTGATTTCTATGTCCACACTATCTATAAACACTATCTCCAACATTGAGCATTCTCTCCCCATGAATATAGCAAATTTTTACATCATCTGTGACAATCTTTAACATATCATTTAATAGACAGAAACTGCACAAGACGAAGTCAGATGAACATACAATGGGATACTGAAGAGAAAGTTCAGACAACTAGGAATCACCTAGAAAAAAAAAATTATATATATATATATATATATGATAATAATCCAATGTTGGCGCCAGATTTTTCAGAAACAGGAGCCAAGACAATTATACATTTATTTTAAAAAAAAAAACAAAAAAAAAACCCTCTACAAAAAGATTTTCAAACAAAGACTCTGCCCATCAACATTTTTGATGGAATGAAAAAAAAAAAAAAAAAAATCAAATCAACAAGGAACAAGAAAGTTTCTTAATTGGCATAAAACATTTATTTTGTTAAAAGTAAATGGAGAAATGGTATGATGGTAAAAAAAAATGTAAATGGATTTACCTGTTTAAGTTATTTTACTGTTAATGCCATAACTCAAAACTATCAAGTGGGAGTTATCACTTCTCTCATTAAGCAAAGGTAACCATGTGTGGGCAGTGAGCAGAGGAGAGGGCAGAATCAGCAATCCTGTAACTAACAGGTAATAAAGCGCCAAACACAGGCATATACATAGTTTCTTTTATCAAAAATTTTTTGAGAACAAGATTATACTGCTTGCTGATACATTACCTTTCAAAAAAAAAAAAATAAAAAAATAAATAAATAAAAAAATTTCTAAATTCATCATTATTGCTTCATCTCTTGAATTTTTTATTGTTCACCCAACAGAAGGTCCGAGAGCCACTCAAGGTAAAGGGTTACTAAATGAGGTTGTTGTAAGGGTGTACAAAGTAGGAGTAAGAAATTTATTATGAGGATATGTAGGATAAATGACAGTTGACCATAAACTTGATGAGTACTGTAATTACAGACCACTTGCCATAAATTCATCTGTCAAAATTACCCGGGCTGACAGATCTTTGGTGAAATAGAATCTTTGCTCTCTCTCTATATATATATATATATATATATATATATATATATATATATATATATATATATATATACACACACACACACAAGGTGGTCTAAAAGTCTTGTCACACCCACATAATATAATTTTCTATTTCCGATGGCTGATATGAAAATGATGGTGTTCATACAGACCCTCTCAATATGCGACAGCATCAATGAAAGTGAATAAACTGAATCCCATATATGCGCTTTGTATTACTGTTATTACTAGTTGTTCTGTTTTCAATTCTTTTTGGTAGAAGGTAACAAGACTTTCGGTCCGCACAGACACACGTTTCATAAAAATGAACTGACAAGGCCTGTATGTTTAAATTTTTTATTCTATTTTTTTGGATGTTGTTTAATACGATCAAAGTTATGGATAAACTGTCTGAAGCTAATGGGTTGTTTAATTAAAATACTTTTGACTGTCTTAGTCATTTTTTAAAGAAATAATGTATTTGTGTGGCAGGCAGAATTCTTTTTGTCTATATCCTGGTATTCATTGTAAAGATTAAAGTTTGAAATAGCCTACAATGATGCTTATTGAAGCAAATCCACACCAAAAGAATGCAATTTTTTTATTTTTTTTTTTTTTTTACACACAGTATGCACTTCAAGACCTGATACTGTCTCCTGTGCTGAATTATATTTATTTAATGTGATATATATATATATATTTAAAAAATGTTCTTTTTAGTGCAGCCTTACTCCCACTAATTGACATCACTGTAGACTATGTAACCTGCTACAGCAGAACATCAGTCACTAAGCTTTTCTGGTAAGGATGGTGGCTAGACATCCAGCAAGATTAAAATCAAGCCTGTCAAAGAGTGGATGAACCTTCTTGTAGGGGTCAACAGCAATCTAGCACAATAGGGTAAACTGGGTTCCATAGCTATGTACACAGCCAGAATGGTGATGACACGGCATTGCTGGGCGGAGTGCTTCCTAGACTAAAGTCAACAGCAAGGGTGGAGGGTTCCTCTTGTGGAATCAATGGCTACGTGTCCATGACCAAGGCGAACCTTCATATTGGAGGATATTGGCTGTAGTTTGACCTGCAGAGGGATGGCCTCCATCAGGTCTATTTGCTAGAGATACACTACACATTAATGAATACTTATCAAAATTTCAAATTTGATAGGTGAAGGGAACTGGTCAGGTGCTCTGCTGTGTAGTGACAATCACCACATCCGATCATTAGACTGATGATGAGGTGCCTAATACAAGGTAGAGGTCTTAATAATTGCTGAATGGGTCAGAATTTTTCTCAATGTGTAATAAATGAAGGGAGGTTTTAATAAGGAGTGGGGGTGAAAAAAAAATTAATTAATAGGTCAAAGAGTATGAAATTAATAAACTGGAGTCTTAATAAGTTCAAGAAAAGTCAGAAAATTTAATTAAAAAAGGCCCCCACTCCCATCTATTAGGCAATCAAGTGTAACTTTTTCTAACATTTTCCTAGGATACTTTCAGTCTATTATAACTTCTGTCATTTCATCCTATTTTTCTGTTACACCAACATTTTACATTGCTTTTTTTCCTCAAGAAGCAAAATAATCTGCTAGTCAACAAAGTTATAAACACAGAAGTTACTAGCATTTTAATTAATTCGTATCATTACACAAACGGATTTCTGAATCTGGTCCAGTGTGTTTTAAAGGTAGAATTACATGTGATTTTTTTTTTTTTTTTTTGTATCTTTCAAAATTTAGCAATTAAAAAAAAAAGTCTACTTTTATTTCCATTTTCTATATCCTCCAGGTATCAGTTTCAACTGACGACGCCATCTTTTTCCATTATATTGAAACCATTTTGTTTAATGTTCGGATTTTCTTAATTTTGGATGAAACAATGGAAATTTTACGACATGTTTCACAGAAATTTTCACTTTCCAAAATAACAGCCCATAATTTTAGTTCCGATATCCAGAAAGAATGCAGTGTTAGTTTAAACTGATGCCAGGAGAATATATGTTAATGTTCTTTTCTTCTGCTCGACACCAGGAAGGATATACAATACACACAACACAGATAATGATATGCTTGATATGAAATATCTTGTTTAAATAAATAATAAATAAAAATAAAGCATATATCAAGTGTTCTTAACATCGTCCAAGAGATATTTTTTTTGATTTTTTTATATATAAAGTTCAGAGTTTATGTGTTGGCTTTATGGACAACCATTATCTAGCTTTTCAGGGCTTTTAAAGTTCTTTTCTGTAAAGTTTCACATTGCCTGCTAGTGTTCATGTATCATGACACCAGATTCAAGTGAGTTAAAAATGAATGAGATTTATCTGAAATGCCAATTCGAACACATTACATGATTTGATAAGAGGAACCAAGACAATATAGACTTTTAGCTGGATGGGTCACAAAACCAACCTAGAACAAGCTGGAAGCTACAATCATTGTCTATTAATTATTTTACAACCTTTCAAGACTCTTTAATATGAGACTCACTTAGACTCAAATAAGAGAGAGGCTTTTCTCTGCAATTTTTTTTTTTTTTCCAGCAACATACTCAGCGAGAAAAAACATCCAGATGGAATTAGGACTAAGTATAAGAGAGAGACAACAATGGCACCAAAAATGGCAACAGCAAATATAAAAAATGGTTTCAAATTTTTTTTTTTTTTGTTTGTTTGAAACATAATTTTGGATATGATGTTGGTAACCTGGGTGTTAGGGTTACCTACTTTGAAATTATTTACGATATCTGTGTCTTCTGCCAGCAGTAGGAGAAGAATAGAAAAAAAAAAAAAAAAAAAAAAAAAGGGCTGATGTTCAAATGTCCTATTTTGGAAAAAAAAAAAAAAATGTGAGTACTTATCCAGTTGACTGGTGGTTGAGGAGCTTGTTGGTCAATTAACAGTAAGGACTAAATTTTATGATTGGTAAACTTTATTACCCAATCCAGAACAATAAATAAGCAAAAAAGGGAAAAAAAAAAAAAAAAAAAAAAAAAAAAAAGGTGGTGTGGAGAAAAAGGACAAAGTAAAAAAGGGGGGGAGAAAAGAGAGAAAAGAATAAAGAGAGAAAAATCAAATCAATTTAAAAATATTTTAATAATAGGAAAAAAAAAAAAAAAATAAAATTTATGCATGCCAGTTAGTCTGCATGCAATTCTCGTCTAAGTTCCTTGAGATTTTTCTTTCTTTGTATTTTGGTCAGTGTAAGCGCTATTTGTTTTCACAAAATGGCATCATTTGAACATGTACCCCAATGAGGAAAAAAAAAAAAAAAAAAAAAAAACCCGGAAGTAATCAAAATGGTAGTTTTAATAGAAGTGGATCTTTATGCCTTTAGGTAATACAACAAGAGTATAAAGAGACATGACGCTAGTCGCAGTCGTAGTAGTAGCAGCAATAACAGAGCCAAAGGAAGTAGAGATGAAAATTGACAAAAGAGGAGATAAAAATTGTAACATTATTTGTAGAAATTGACCAGCAGATGAAACTACCTGCCAGCACTTGAGGCATCACCACTGGGACTGGGGCTTCGGCTGTTAACATTCAACATCTGTAACATCTCTTTGGTATGGTCCAGTTCCTCCTGCAACACAAACAGAAGACAAAAGGAAATAAAACAAAAGTATAATTCTTTATTAAATTGGGGAGGGGGGGGGAGAATCACAGGCTGTTCTCTGCAGAATTAAAAAAGTTCAAAAGCTAACAAAATACAGGGTGCAATGGGTAAATTATCACCATTTTATATTTTTAATTTTACACATGCACATTGTTTGTTTCGGATTTTGTTGCCATATGGGGGGGGGGGCACCATGACACAATTCACTCCACCAGGAATTTGGAAACAGCATGCTGTACTGCTTGGTATTTGCACCAGAAGCTCCAATACAAACATTGGAGAGTGTTTAGGTGTCAATCTGAAGACAGTGCAGAGGATTTGGAAAGAGCTGGATAAGTCTAATGGTCATTACAAAAGGTATTTCGAGTGACCACTAGTGATGACAATGTTATGTCTCTATTCATCTTACCATAGGGCCTCAGACTCAACACTTAAGCCTACATCAAGTGCCTTGAGGAGGTAGTGCTACCCAGAGTCAAGAGGGTGGCTGGTGGAAGATGCTATGTTTGCACCATGCTATGCAAGCAGGAGAACCCAAACATGGCTGCAGATAATTATCTGTGACTACATCACCCCTTGCATCTGGCTACCTAACTCCCCAGACTGCAACCCTTTTGATTATTGTATGGGGCACAGTTGAATGAGAGACCAACAAACAGAATTTTAATTTTGCTGCATTCATTTTGTGTTAATGTCCTTGAGAAGAGCCCGAATCCATCTTCACTCCCAAATTTATGAGCAAAACAGTAGGGTTGATTGGACTCTCTAGTCTTGTTAGTGCAACCAATCTAGGAGAAATATTCCATTTCAAAAGCATTCAGAAAGCAAGAACAATCACTGGAATTCACATTTTAGAGATATTTAAGGATGTTGTGGAGACCCACTATTATGCCCCTTCAAGACATGGGCAATTAAAAAAAAAAAAAAAAAAATTACCCTAAATTCATCTCTGCCATGAAGAGATTTAAGTTTTTCTTGAAGGATTTCTGTGAACTGTAGTTGTGGCCGCTTGCAGTCTTCAAGTGATCGAGAATGGTCGGTGACAATGGACACAAGGCAGGCCATGAGGTGCTCGTGGAAAAGAGAATGATCTTCACGAAGGTGGCCAATTAGCTGTTCTAGCATTCCCATATCACATAATGTGTCTGTAAAAAAGAAGAGAACTTATTAAGAAAAAAGAAAAAAAGAAAAAAGAAAAAAAGAAGTACCACATTTATCTGTTTATATTTCTGAGATGAGGTATTGTAATTATTTACACTATTTACATTGCTGTCCTCATCTTTGTTGCTATATTGTACACTCCAATCTTTTTCAAGTGGTTGGAATTCCAAACTGAACCCTTTATTTCATCTACTGGGGTAGATTGTTCTAGTTCCACATGCCATGCTTCTTCCAGATATCTCAGTATCAGTTATCTCCATTTAAGCCAATTCTTCAAGTTTTTGTTCACCTCAGCTGTAGCTAGGTATTGAACTCATAACTCTTTGGGTCAAGTCACTGGATTCAACAAATGCTTTTTATTCACTGAGCCATTTATATCAGGATGAAGTTAAGCTGTTTATCACATCCAGTCAATTTGCGATAAGCTCCCAAGATTAGTACCAAATGAAAATATTAAAATTATAATAAAACTTAACACATTCTTCTTTTACCTGTAGACACCCATACTTTTCAACCTCTACAAATGTTGAAAGCATTTATGTGGCCTTGTGGGTGATGGATTATTTTTAAGTTTACAGTCCCTTTCCCATGGATAAAATGTTGCAAGCTTATCACTATTATTATTATTCCCATGGCAAATTTTCAGATGAGCTACATTCCTTAGTTCTTCCAGTTCAGACTTTCACAACTAACATTTTCAATGTCATGTAGACAGGGTTGAATCATCCTCATTCCACACTCCCCCCGTATTCCATTGATAAGAAGGAAGTTCCTCTTAGACAGTTTCCTGAAATTTGCTACTTGATGGAATAGACTCCCAAGAGGATGCTTCTCCAATCCCTACAATCTTAACACGTTCAAGTCTTGGGTTCACCATTATCTATCCTACATATCCTTATAATTTGCACTTAGTTCCTACTCTTGCATTAATACAACAACCAAATACAGTTACTCTCTACCTTGAGTGGCATTTGGGCCTTATAATGAGGAAACTGTATAAAAAAAAGAAAAAAGTTGCTGTTGAGGTAGCAAGTAGGTTTTACAAGACAGAATTGCTAGTCCCATGCCCAACCAGTTTTTAATTTACAGTTGTCTTTGTAAACTAGTTGCCACTAGAGCCAAGTCTACCTTGTTATTTAACATAGAGACAGTTTTTATGACAAGACTATAAGTTATCTCATGATTGGCATTTTTTAAAACATTTTCATTTGTGGGCACCAACAATGAGTTTATTTACATGATACTTTTAGTGTGAAAATAATGTTAAGACTTCAGTTGAAGTTATAAATCAACTTATAAAAAGTCGGCTATTATAAAGTTGGTATTTTAAGTCAGATTTTATAACTGACCTTTGGCAGTCAACATGTTAACACATACCATATTTTCTTGATATTTATACAATAAATTTTTAATGAAAATTAAAGGCAAAAAAGGGGGGGTTGCATTATATGCAAGTACAAGTTTTCAGAAAGTTTTATTAAACCTCTTATTTGAAACTGCAAGATTGCAAATACCAAGTTTTGCTCACAATTTTAATTTCTTTGTTTTTATAAAGTTTTCTTTATTTTTAATGAAAGACTATAATTATTTCCATAATTTATTAATTTATAGAAATATAATAAAGTCATATCAAACAGAAAAATATGATAGATTAATTAACACCTTAAAATGTATTACCAGGTATGTCTAGTTAGCACCTTTCCATGAAAAACAAAAATAAGTTTGAAATGGAAATTAGGGGGAAGACATGCAATGGCTAAACATCTGGTTCATTTCTATTCTTTAATATTGTAAAAAAAATTAATTATTTTAGTGAAACATATATATGACATTGAGATTTTAATAGATAATGCGGTACAAGTTTACAAAAATTTACATAGGACTCCATGGTACAGCAATCCCTATTATACTCAAAGATGTAATTTATTCTGTTTTTAGCTTAAGAAACACAGGGTCGTATTATACTAAAGTCGTATTAAAAGGAAGAAAATATGATAGCTGCTTGCGAAAAGATGACATCCTACGTTTCCCAAAGGCATAAGTTCAAAGTGAATGCAAGAGACTTAGCTTGAATTTGGCTTATTCAGTCCCTCTTCTTTTGCCAATAACTGTTATATTACCTGCACAGCCAGAAGAACCACATGCAACATTTTATATTGTGAAAGGAGATGGTATTAATTTGTTGAGAATCCGGGACAAAACATGCTGGATTTTTTTATATTGTTGTGAAAGTTTATGAAGGTCTGATATTAATTAACACTAAGCCAGATGGCAACAAATCCAAGCAAGGTGGAATTTTAATAAAAGTTAAAATAAAAAGGTAATTAAAAATTTTCATATTGAATATTTCATGTAAATTAACATTTTTCTTTTTTTTTTTTTACTAGAATATTTTTTCTTGTATCAATTTCAGCTGTCATATTCATTATCTGCCATTTTAAATTGTAGAAATTCGGTACAAATAAATAACTTTAGACCAGACTTGAATTTATCAAGTCATATCATATCCATTGAAATGTGCAAATGTATTTATGTATTTCTTTCTTTGTGTGCTTGTTTGCAAAATTAGTTGCAAATGTTACAACAAAGTAATTTCTCTTTGCTCTTTTTTGTGTACTTTCCTAAGCCCAACTGCTTTAACAATGCAATAAAGGAATTTCCACATTTATTTTATAGTCAAGGAACTAACAAGCAACTTATTCAATCATTAGCTTAATAATTAAGACTTATCAGAAAATTCAAATAACAAAACTGAAATTTTCATTGGTATTTTAGTATTAATTATTTTGTCAATTTTTCAGCCATTTATAAAATGACTAGCAGTAGAGCCCAGCATTGCCCGGGGATCTAACAGTAAGAGATAGATCAAGTATCGACCATCATAAAGACTGAAAAATAAAAATTGACAAAGATTATTGTTTAAGGTTGACAGACATGCATGTCTTAATTAGTTCTTTTTTTTTTTTTACGAATTGGTCAAACTCAAACCAAAACATTGTTTTTTATTGTCTACTGATTGAATAGAATTTTATTATAAACAATTGTCTTGTAAATGGAATTTTTAAAGCATTCTGAATGTAAAAATGAAGAAAAAAGTGTGCAAAACAATAAGAAACACTACCTGTCAAAAAAAAAAAAAAAGTGAAGTTTTGTTGAAATCGGTTGAAAAATGTAGGAAATCCGATCTCATATATAAACAAACACACATACACAAACAACCAACCTGGGTTTTATAATAAGTATAACTCGATAACTCGATATTAATAAGTATAACTCGATATGAGTTGTCCCCCTTTCATTAATGCCTCTTAATCGTGTTTTCAAATTGATTTCATGCAAAAACAATTGTGTTTTTCCAATTTTTGGCGCTGTCAGAACCACTGCAAGGTAATTTTACATAGTCCTGTAAAGTTTTGTTGAAATCGGTTGAAAAATGTAGGAAAAACGATCCAATATGTAAACATACAGACACACAATCTGCGTTTTATAATAAGTAAGATGTTCAATATCAAGTAGTGTTTCATGTTAGTGTATATGCAAATGATTGCAAAAATTATAGACGACAACATAAAAAAAAATTCAATGACTGCTTTCACAAGATACAAGTAAAATGATATTTTTTTTATTTTAAAAATCAATTTTGAAAAATCCATTTACTTATTTAACAAACTGGATACCGAGAGACTCCACTACTCCTTCCTAACTATTGTAATGAAAGCCTAATCAAGAGCCCTCCGCAGGAGCTAGCTTAAATGCTGCTTGATAGGGAAGCTTTAAAGCTAAGTTATGAATAAACATGAACTCAGTATCTGCCTATATTTCTGAGATGAGGTATTATGTACATTATTTACATTATTCGGACTATTGTCCTCATCTTTGTCGCCATATTTATTACATTTCGGCCATTGTATGCTCCGGCCTTCTTCAGGTGATTGGAATGTCGAACTTAACCCTTTATTTCGCTCACTGGGGTAGACTGTTCTAGTTCCACATGCCATGTTTAATGGATGTCAGTTATCATTTATCTCAAGGACACATGGCACAGTGGATAAAGGCGTTGGTTAGATCCAGTGACAGGACTCAAAGAGTGTGAGTTCAATACCTGGTTAAGGCAGTGCAGAACTTTCAGAGGGAAATTAACAAGACATAACTGATAACTGATATCCATTAAACATGGCACGTAGAACTAGAACAGTCTACCCCAGTGAGCGAAATAAAGGGTTAAGTTTGACATTCCAACCACCTGAAGAAGACCGGACTACAAGAAGAAGACGCACAAGTTGTTTGGCGTCTTTTCTTGTAGTCCTCAGTCAAGTCCATTATGGTACTCCAAGGCGTGCCCGGCGACAACACAAACATGCAGTTCGAGGACGTTTCCGCGCATGCTTGTTACAGTGTACAACAGCCAAAACGTAATAAATATGGCGACAAAGATGAGGACACTAGTCCGAATAATGTAAATAATAAACATGAACTACAATACAATTTATTTAGCATTATTTTATCTTCAGTGTTTAATGTGAAGAATCATTGAGAAGAATTTTATCTGAGAGAAGATATTTTTCAAAGAAAAACTGAGGTTCAAAATTTGTGCTTCCTATCATCAAGACTAACAGTAAATGTTGATCAGTAAAAACAGTCCTTCCCAGATGCAGATTTACAGGGCTTCATTTTTGAACGGTCTTCTAAATATATTGTATCAAATGCTGAAACTGTTGGGCAAAAACATTTTAAAGAAAATATCCTTCATTTGGGAAACCACTTGTAAAAAATCTCTGTCTATGTTTCTGAGATAAGGTATTGTAACTATTTACATTTTATTATCATATTTCCAACGTTTCGGCCATTGTACGCTTCTTCAGGTGATATACATAGGAATTTTGAACCAAACCTTTATTTTGTCCACTGGGGTAGATTGTTTTAGCTCCTTTTCTGGATATCTCAGCTTCAGTTATTTCCCTTTAGTAACTCGACTCTCCAAGTTTTTGTTCCCCTCTGCTGTGGCCAGGTATTGAACTCACAATTTCACTGGATTACTTAATGTAAACAATGTAAATTGTAAAAATCTATTAACTTTTCCTCTTTGTTTCAAACCACTAGGCAGCCCATACTTGTGGCATTGTACTAAACTTGATAAAATAATCTTTTTTTTTTTTTCAGTGATATTTATGTTTGAAATTAGACACCGTGTTTTTAAACAGTGTATTATGTCTATTGGCCTGGACACTGAAGAAGACTTATTAAAGAAAATGTGCTCTCCGGCAGCGTTCAAACATGTGTCCCTCTTTAACTCTTTTCAGTATGTCACGAGACTGCATGTTGATCAATTCCAATTTAGCATCTAATGTGGGACACAATGACAGATTTTTGTTCTTTTATATATAATAATATTCAATGGAAAACATCAAAATTATTATTTAAGAATAATCAATTATTCTATACACAGCATACCTGATTTAGCCCATGGGCTGTGATTTGCTGACACCTACCATACAATTCAGATCACACAGAAAATTAAATAAATAAAGAACAAATTGATAAGTCAATTTGTTTTTTATTTGTTCTTTTCCCCTTTGTTTCAATCCTCACTACATGACACATACTTGCAGCGTTGTGCCAAACTGAGATAAACTTAGTAAAATGATCATATTTAGTGGATACTCGTGTTTGAAATAGACATCCTGTTTTTATTTTAAACTGTATCAATCTACTCACTTAAGAAAACTTAAAATGTGCTCTCACTGTTAGATTAAAACTTTTTTTTTTTGTTAAATCAGACACACACAATGGGCATTTTATTCACTACAACAGAAAAAAACAAAACCTAGTGGATTTTATATGCACCACCACCATGGTGGGGAGAGAGAGAAAATTAAGCAAATGTCTTACCTTTGACGGCTGGTTGTTGGGTGACAATATTTCGCATCAGAAAAGCAGATTTGATTTTCAATTTCTCTACATCTGCTTGCATTGCCCGCATCAAATAAGAGAAGCCATCCATTTTGATGAAATTATCCTGGGCAGTTGGTGCCTCACGGCATAAACCTAGCAAACAAGACAAGAACATTAAAATAATTCCCCCAGAATAAGCTTTTCTAGAAACTTCTTACTTGAGCATTATAGCTAATTACTATATTTAATTAACTATAATTAATTCATGGCAAATATTTACTTTAGAACATAATTTTCAGTCATTTATCACTAGTTTTTTTAATCTTAAACAGGAAATAAGGAATAAACCTCCTGTTCAAAGAACCCAGAAGGAATCAGAAGTATCGAGTTGAAGTAGACTTTAGATTCTTAAGTCTACTCCAAACACACACACATATTATATATATATATATATATATATATATATACACACACACACACGCATACACACACTTCAGAAAAGGAAATGGCAACCCAATCCTAAACAAAAAACAAGGGATAAACTTCTACTTTTCAAAAGACCGAGGAGGAGTCTGAACCTAGGCAAACCTATCTACTACTATTGTGGAAAAATAAATAGTATAAATTTCAGAGATTAGGCCAAGATCTTAGAAGTATATCGTTGATGTAGAATTTAAAACAAACCAAAAACCTAATCCTAAACAGAAAACAAGGGATAAACCTCTACTCCTATCCAAAAGGACTGAGGAGGTTTGTGAACTGGAAGATAGGCAAACCTAACTATTCCTATTAAGGAAAAAAACTAAATAAATAAATAGTAAATAAAATTTCAGAGTTTAGGCAGAGATGCTAAAAGTTTAGAGCTGAAGGAACCAGAAACATTTTCTGATTGGCAAGTGATTTTCAAAGAGAATCAAAGACAAGAAGAGTTGAGTTTTCAATAGAAATATTGTTATTGATAAGGCAGTTGTAAGATAGAAGGCATAGTTTAGAAAATTCAAATCCATCCTGGTGTGAATGTGAATGCAAACAGTAATATGAAGTACATATTTTTTTAGAACAAAGATTTAATCAATAAAAAACAAAAAAGATTCAACTCTAACCAACTTCATGTAAACCATCTTAAGCTCTGCATTTATTTAATTTTTCTTTCAATAAATCAGTTTTGGTGTAAAAAGTAAGCGCATTACAATAAGATTTCCTTGGCTCTTCCTTCTGAAATTTTCTCCATTACTGAACAATGACAAGGGAAAAACGTAAAAGAAACTGAATGTGGAAAATACTATCATAAAGGAAGGCTCATACGAAATTTAGATACAAGCACATATGGCAGGTAAAAAAAAACAAAAAAACAAAACAAAAAACAACAAATAAACCAAGTGGTAGGGGAATGAAAATAATAATAAAATTTATATATATATATATATATATATATATATATATATATATAAGAGAGAGACACAAACTCAGTCCACACTAGGGTTCATAGGACAGATGACCAATATCTTCATCCATCAAAATAGGACATACTATTCCCCATGTGAGATAATTTGGGATTTTATTGTTTATTAATGATATTGCTCTGTATTTTGTGGATCAGTTTAATATTTTATATTACTAGGATCCACTTAGATTATATACCAATGGATTTGTTAACTTTACTATATATATATGTGTGTGTGTGTGTGTGTATCAATTGTTGGGGGTTCATATATATAATACGCTATATATATCTTCAAGAATGTTTTGTTCATTTTTAGAAATTCATTTTAAACTTAAAAAATTATAATTAAAAAAAAAAAAAAGAGGGGTGGGGAACAATTCTTGTAACAATTCATTAGTCATCAAAAGAGGTTTTTTTTTTTTTTTTTTTATTTATTTATTTACACTACATCCTTCATTTATATTATTTATGATAGCAATTAAAAGCTTATATAATTAAATAAATAATTTTAATGCAGTTTTTATGTTACAATACATCTTGTGGAATTTGGTAATAGCTTGAAAAAAAAAAAAAAAAAAAAAAAAAATTTTTTAAATACAGTGTAACCCGGATATCAGAGAGTTGTCGGGACCAGAGAAGAAGTCTCTTTATATCCGGGTTTGGTCTATTTTATATACATTAACCCAGGCTCTAATTTGGGACCAGAGAAAATCTTTCTTATATCCGGGTCTCTTATATCCAGGTTACACTGTATATCTGATGATACACTGCTCTTAGTAGGTCGAGAAATAAGCCGACTCTGAAATTACAAATTAAATCTACGAACATCAAGAATTACTCAGATATTCCAAAGTTGACACAAAAAATATTGTGCTTTGGGAACTTTTGCAGTAAACATAATACTGGTTGTAAATATGTAAAATTTATGAGGATAATATACAGATATCTTTCCTTAGGTGCTTATAAATTGTACACTGTTCAATTATTAATGTTAACAAGGAAATATTTTAAATTGCAAAATTGTACTTGGATTAAATGAAAATTGCTTACAATACATATTACTTATAATACATTCCTTCTTGCCATCAATTTTGACAGCATGGGTACACTAGTTATTAATATTTACAAAGAAAAAGACACAGAAGCAACCAATTCCAGTGAGGGGAAGAGATAGCAAAAAAAAAGCAAAATAAGTTAATAAAAACACCACAACAAACTTACAGGAAATAGCAAAGAGGGCTTTAATTCGGACAGTATTTTTCTCATCATTGTCTAAAACTTTCATCATGGTATTGAGAAGTCCAGCATCCAGTATCGCTGTCTGGCAGAAAGGATTGTTCTGAACCAAAGCACCAATCAAATCCAAAGTTCTCCAGCGAATTTCAGGGTCCGGGTCATGCAAGAGTGGTGAGAGGATGTCAAATCCTCCAATTTTGTAAAAATCTATAGAAAAAGACAAATCAAATTTCTTGAATTATTTTTATACTCGTGTATGTTATTAAGCTGGGTCATAAATAATTTCAGTTTTTGATGTATGTGTCATCCTGGCTACCAAGTGTATGTGACAGTTGAGAATAAATTTGGAGTACACTAATATACCTTACTTTTAGCACAACAGTGGCAGAGTACACAGCAGATTAAACAAAAAATGTTGTTCTCTTCTATGACAATGCAAGAAAAACATAGGTAAAAAAATTTTGGAACTCAATTGATCTGTTCTACCCGACCTCCCATATTCATCTACCTTGGCACCAAACAATTATTACACCTTTTTCAATTGCTGCAAAACGCTTTGATTGGAAAGGCATTCTCTAATGCAGTACTTCTTAAACTATCTGATATGGCAGATCACCATTTTTTTCCTCAATTTATCATGTATCTGTAATATTTTGTGGTAATATTAATTTATACAGGAAACAATATAAATAATGAATACAATAAAAGGTGATTATTTCTTATCTTCCTTTTCTTTTTTCTAAAAAATAATTCAATATCAAAACATATAAAAAGTAATAAAATAAATAAGCAGTTTATTAACACTGAGTAGCAATGAATACCAGATTTGAGAATTTGTTTAACATTTTTTTTCATATTAAAACCTGCAGAATTTTAGTCAAAAGAGCTACCTGATAAGTGGCAACATGACATCGCAAATAATGGTGTATATATAACTGAATAAAATGTAAACGGCACTTTATGTTTTAAAGCATAAAGTTGATAAACAAAAACGGAAATTATTTACAACCCAATCTAATAGTTTTACAATTATAAAAAAGTAGCAGCATGGCCCAGCGTTGCCCGTGCTTGATTCAAAAATCGTACAACTCATACAGCAATCGCTATCACTTGACTTAAAATATTTTTGCCCTTCCTTGTTTTTAAAGGAGTGCCCTTTGCCATGCTGATGTTGCTACATGCCTTACTTCTTGCCTATCTCACACTGCAAATTTTTTCTAAGCTCTATACTAAACATTAAATCTGTTACGAAAAAAAGAACTAAACAAAATGAACACAAAACGATCAGCTTTAAAAAAGGACTTGTAACTGGAAAAACCGAATGAAAAAAGAATGTTAACAACAAATACTTTTTCACACCCAACCCAGTTCTGCGGAATCAGAATCAATGTTGAGTTTAAGCAAGCAAATGAGACAATTAGAGTAAAGTGCCATGCATTTAAATTTTTCCCCACTTGTGACGAATGCAGCTATCGATTTTTTTGCATGCTAGCATGCTAGTTAACATTCGTGTCAGTCAGCTGTTGGCTCTCACGCTGGCCAGTACAAAATGGCCGCAAAGTACATGAAAACTGCCATAGAAGCATGAAAAAAAAAAAAAAAAAAAAATCGATTATTTCCACTATTGATAGGAGTTGGGAAATGCAAAGTCTTGACCTTCCCACTAACTTGGAGCATGTGCATGTAAATTTTGGTGCAAATCCATCAAAAATTGCGGCCATGCATTTGTCACACACACACACACACACACATCCTGCCTTTTATAGATAGAGATGAACAAAAGAAGCAAGATGTAGCTTTTCCATTCCATTCAGTGAGTTAAGCATAATTTTTGCTAATACCAGCAAGATAAGGTAAGGATCAAAGATATGCCATCAATTCACAATTGGAATAAATAATATTTTATGGCTCATCAACTAATATACAATGGTCATGCAGGGCTTAAGCAGATTTTAAGCCAATTCTAATGCTTTGAATCTCAAGAGATGTAGACACAAAGACATTTCACAGTTTATTTTAAACATCATTCATAAATCTGCAGATCAAAGAGGAAGCATTGTAATTTACACTAACATCTTTTGTTTGACCCCAACCCTATTTTTTAATCCTATGTCCCTTCAAGACACAGGTGATCATGGCTCTCCACAGATTGCTTTTCTTTATTATCTGTGAATTGCTATGCATTCTTAGCAAAAGATAAGGGAGTGGTCTCCCATTGCCTTCTCCATAGTTTGGCATTCTGAGTTTTGTTTTTCTTGGACTAGAAAGACCTGTCTACTATGCTATTTAACCTATAGCTAAGGGGAGAAGAAACGGATTTATGCCAAGGGCATTTGTCCAAAAGTGAACACAAGTAACTAGCCTGGAATGCCAATTACACTTTCTGTGTTAATATCAATTACACTACTTGTATGGGGGATATTTTATTTCTTTTGTAACAAAAGACAACAGCAATTTTAATTAGTTTTAGCTAAGTTTATTTTATTTGAAATTATAATGATAAAAACGCTTATAGAAGAAACTTTAAAAATACAGGATTAGTACACTAGTCTTCTGAATAAAATAAGCTAAAAGCATTGTACACTGAATACTGCATTTTCTGGCTTACAAGACACAGCAGCTTGGAAGATGCAACCTGATATTGGAAAGAAACTTCTAAGAAAAACAAAAAATAAAAGTCATTCTCAGACAACAACACATTTACCATGTATCCCTCACATAATGGCGCCACATATAAATAAAAGACTATTAATAAAATAAATAAAAGACTATAAATAAAAAAAGACTATAAATAACTAAATAAAGATAAAGACTATAAATAAATAAATATATAAATAACAATAATAAAAAAAAAATAAAAAACAAATAAACATTATTGTTTTTAAACATCCTATATTCTATTATCAGTAGTTTTGCTTGGAAAGGAGATATGTTGATATGATCCTGGATGTAAATTGACCATGGAAAACTCTGAAATTAGTGCATTTTCAAAACATTTTCACCTTAATAAATTACTTTCTCTTTTAATTAACACTGCATTCTTTTCAAAACATCAAAGTTTTTATATTTTGTCATTCAGTTACCCACTGAAGTACCAGAGAAGTATTTAATGCTTTCAAATAGTAACCTATAACAAAAAAAACACAAAAAAAAAGGTTAAGCTATGTCAAAGAAAAACTCTGAGAAGAAATGGTGATCTTAAATCACTAACACAAAAAGAGCTCTGTTTAGTAAAGCGAGAGAGAGGAAAAAAAAAAAAAAAAAAACAAGTTCAATGAGATAAGCGTTCATAAAAACTTCAGTTTCTTTACTATTAATGCAGTGGCAACAAAAGTACTCACCAATAGCAAAGTCGATATATTCACACCACTCCATGAGCTCCTCAAGAGCAGCTTCTCTGTCGTCTTCTTCATTTTCTTCATCGGCATTATTTGGTGATTTTAGTATACGGATACATTCTTTCATACGTCTGACAGGTGATTCTGTCAGTGTGTTCAGGGCACCTTCAAGCCAAGCACGATCCTATTCAAAAAAAATAGGTGTTATTTAAAATTTAAATGTAGATAAATAAATAAGATTTTGTATGCATTGCAAAAGAAACATATTTACAAATTTTGTACATGGTGCTTCACAATTGTTGAAACAAAGCAGCAGCCTCTTAGATGGGGAGAGCTTGAGGAAGATGAGAAGGAACAGTGGTTCCAGCAGGATGGTGCTCCTCCTCACACTGCTAATGTTACGATGACATGGCGCCTTGAAAAATTTGGTGAACATCCTATCACCTGCAAAGCAGAAGTGAAATGGGCATCTCACTCAACTGACCTGAACCCTCCAGATTTCTTCCTCTGGTGGTTCCTCAAGGACAACATCTACCAGAGTAATCCTCACACCATTGTTGCACTGAAACCATCACTGAGAAGATTCAAACAATCATCCAAGAAGAAAGTGTACACTTTATCAACAACTTTGCATTCAATGATGCCTCTAAACTGAATGGTGGACATCTGGAGCATGTACTCCAGAGCTCCTATTGACATTTTTGGTTGATGTTTGAAACTAAATGGTTGCAGATCCTAAAATGTTATCCTTTTACCTTTCAATAAATGTAATTTCCATTACTCTATCTTTTGTGGTCCTTGATTTGTTTAAAAAATTATGAAACACCATGTATATAAACCAATACAAAAATTCAATACTTTTCATTAAGTTCCTACTTTGTACAATGACAAAAAGTAGTAATTTATTTATGCAAAGGCGAAAGAGTTTTCTATTCAGATTTATAAAAAACAAATTTTAATGCCCAACAAAAATTATCACTCACGTTGGAAATGACTTCTTATGTTCGTTTCCAGAGATTAAAGTGGAAGATGCAAAATTCCAAAGGAGAGAGACAAAAGATAAAACCCAAGCAAAGGAGAGAGACAAAAGATAAAACCCAAGCAAAGGAGAGAGACAAAAGATAAAACCCAAGCAAAGGAGAGAGACAAAAGATAAAACCCAAGCAAAGGAGAGAGACAAAAGATAAAACCCAAGCAAAGGAGAGAGACAAAAGATAAAACCCAAGCAAAGGAGAGAGACAAAAGATAAAACCCAAGCAAAGGAGAGAGACAAAAGATAAAACCCAAGCAAAGGAGAGAGACAAAAGATAAAACCCAAGCAAAGGAGAGAGAGACAAAAAGATAAAACCCAAGCAAAGGAGAGAGACAAAAGATAAAAACAAGCAAAGGAGAGAGACAAAAGATAAAACCCAAGCAAAGGAGAGAGACAAAAGATAAAACCCAAGCAAAGGAGAGAGACAAAAGATAAAACCCAAGCAAAGGAGAGAGACAAAAGATAAAACCCAAGCAAAGGAGAGAGACAAAAGATAAAACACAAGCAAAGGAGAGAGACAAAAGATAAAACACAAGCAAAGGAGAGAGACAAAAGATAAAACACAAGCAAAGGAGAGAGACAAAAGATAAAACACAAGCAAAGGAGAGAGTGAGACAACCATAAAAGACAGGAAGAGGAGAGAGAGAGAGAAAAATATAACACACATAGATTTTCCTTGTTTACAAGAAATTTATTTGCAAAACCCCAATAATAGTTGACTGGTGTACCAAAAAGAATTGCTCTATTTTTTTTTTTTATTTTTTTTTTTTTGCTTACTTTATAATTTTTGAAGGAATTTGCTTCCTCCTGTTAGAAGAAATGAACATCTGCCTGGTTGTAATTTAAGGTGTCTTCTAATTGAGTGTACAATTTCAAGAATATTGATAAAGATTGGTCAATTTGATTTTGCAAAACAAAGTAACATGTAAAATTTAGTCTCAGGGTTGAAAAAAAAAAAAAAAAAAAAAGAAAAAAAAGAATCATATTTCACATTTTCAGCTGTTCAAAGCAATACAGTTTTAGCTCGCTATAAAAAATAATTCAATGAATAAAAGCACATGCAAATTACATATTTAGAAATATTATTTGATTTTCTTTCCAGCCATATGAATATTTTTATGATTGGACCGTAAATACATAAGATATTGTGAGCTGAACGGACTAAGTTGCAAATTTAGACATCTCAAACGAAATCAGATATTGACTGGAAATGCTATCATTATACAAGAAAATGAATGGCTTCCTTAGAAAGCAAAAATAGTAAATTAAAAACCGAAAGACCGAATTGAAAACGGCGATATCAAGCAAATAAAAATCCGGAAACCAAAACATAAATTGCCAAACCGACCAAGTCTAATATATACATTTTTTCAGTTGTATGGATATAAGTTTGTAAATCTGGGTTTCATGCTTTTGCAATCATCAGACAAGCTGGTTTATTTTTTTAAGAATTGAATCTATGTTAGTGTTTGATTATGTTTGGTTGTGGTGACGGGGGGGGAATTCTTCTGTGTCTATTTTGGGATTACACTTATACACCCACAGACATAGATACAAGTGTACACATTATAGTTCACATAAACACACATAAACAATGCAAGATTATGAATCTGTCCCCAAATTATCTGATTATACCATCCACTACTTTATTATATCAGTCTAATGAACAGTACAATTCCTTCCTTTGTATGCAGGAGAGAGAGAGAGAGATAGCAAGAAATAGATTTTGATATTTTCTTTCTTTTCTTTTTTTTTAAGTTAAATCATACTAGGAATCATTTATCATGCCTTTTCTATAACAAATTAATGACCAATTTAGTGCTGTATTACGAAAAAACAATTTACATTTTATGTTCATTGATGATAAATACAATTACAACAAAAGTTAATCGTGATACTTTAGCCACTAATACAGCAGAACATTAAGTAACATTTTCAAAAACGTTTCCATTTTGCCGTCATGGTGTAATCTCCATATTGAAATATATGCCATTATTTTGTTATCTCATTAGCAACACTTAACAGAGAACTTGGTCTTTAAACTAAATATACCCTTTATAATAGCCACTATAGAAACAACATTTATATAGCTTAACTACACTTTGTAAAAGAACACTTCATCTGAAATGCAACCATGTGTAAGGTTGCTTGGCAACTCATGAGAAAAATGACAAGTTCAAATATTGCATAAACATTCTCTCTAAGGAAACAGTATCTTAGCATCTGATTGAAAATAAAATGAGGGAAAAAATAAATATGTGCTTTCATTTATATTGTTGTTTTATATATATATATATATATATATATATATATATATATATATAAGACATTTTTTATGTTTATATGTTTTTTTTTATAGATACAAATATTTAAGTAAATGCTCTGTTTATAATAAACAGTATTAACAACATTTACCGGCCTGAATGTCCAAGAAATTTTCATAGAAAATATACGTCCTCCGACAGGAATCGAACTTGTATCCTATATGGAGCCGTCATATAGCCTGATGTACCATAACCGATTGGGCCACAGAGGAGCGTTCGGTTACCAAGGTCGATTTTACTGCTTTTAAACTACAATGCTCCATGATTTTCTCTCATACATTCATATCTGCTCAATGCGTATCCAAATGTAAACAAATGACGTCACACATTATGAAATGGACAAAGTCCAACAATTATTTTTAAGACATTTTTTTTATGTTTATACATTCTTTTTATATAGTGGACATGGAGGACAACAGTGAACATCTACTGTTTTATACTTGAATGCAATCTTCAGATGGCCTGAATTTTATTCTCAAAGAATATGTCAATCGTCATCTTCTGTCTTTCTGATTCCTGTTCTTTTATTTTCCTTTCTCTTCATTGACGTCTTCTCATTCTCATTTACTCCTAAGTAAGAAACCCTTGCATCTTTTAGTGGCATTATCATCTGGTTTAGGATGAAATGATATGAGAAAAGAAATGAATTAAAAGATTTTGCTAAATTTGCATTTTGGAAATTATTTATCTAACAAAATTTTAGAAATATTTCATCATTCTGTTTGAAACTAAAAAAGGGAAATTTAAGAATCAACTAAAAGTTACCCTGTAAGTTTAACATAATGGGTTAACATAAATAAGAAAACAGTGCAAAGGAGATATAGAGTCATAATCAACATTTTGGAGAACATCATTATTTATAGATGCTTTAAAAAAATTTATAAACTTTATCGTTGGAAAGAAAAATTGTACAAGTTGAAAAAATATTTTTTTAAATCAAATATGGCTGAAAATATAAGAAATTATATGAAAAAATAAATCAATAAAAGAGAGAGACAGAGAGAGAGAGAGACAGAGACAGAGACAGAGAGACAGCAAAGCTATGCTTCAAATGAGTTACTTAAGCCACCAAGATATTAACCATTAAGCAGCTACCTAGAATCTTACTGGACATCTCCCACTATTCTAAATTTTTAATGACATATTATAAAGAGAATAATTTGTCTTTAACAAGTGTTCTGAGATTTCTTATGACTACATAAATCCATAGAATTTCAAGCAAAATTCATTCTACCTAAGTTTTCTGAGACAAAAACAGAAGATACAGAAACGTTTAAAAAATTAAATGAAAATATTAAAGAAAATATTTTTTTTTAAATTTAAGAAAAAAAAAATATATGAGAAAATACAGTTCTGCAAAAGCTATGGCCTACATATATAAACCGGGTTGTAGAAAAAAAGGAAATATCCATACTGTAATAGCAGTATTGTCAAAAAATAAATAAATAAATAGATAGATAAATAAAAATAAAAAGTGTGGGAGGGATAACAATGCAATAGAATAAAGCAGGGAAAACACTGCCATTTCAATTTAATCTGCAAGAAGCAAACTTTATTCTCCTTTCTATGTAGCAGTCACTTTCTATTCTTAGACCATGACAACATCTTCAAGCAACGTTCATCATTATCCAGCCACAGATTTACAAGACAGAGAAAGGGAGGAAGAATATTGAATATGCTAATAAGATGCAATAATAGTAGTCCCACAATAAGAGTCAGTGAAGAGTAGAAACAAATCTGCACATCAGACAAGCATTGAATTATTTACAAAATTTTGTGTTATTTAATATGATGCCCACAGATGCAAAACGAATGCTATGTAAATAT